AAATCTATGAAGCAAGCATAGATTTGTTAGACTTTGAGGTTATGATATCTTTTGAATGGCTATTATTATAGAGATATTTTTTGAGTATGATTTTTGTTTATTTACGTGTTCATACCCTCTTTGTTGTCGGGCACAGATGGCTTGTATGTAAGCCAATGTTATCGTTTTCCACTCTTGTTTTTTTTTATTTGTTCTCATTGTATTTCGATAACATAGAATCATTATTATATTATCATTTTTTTTTAATTTGGTAACGGGAAAAAAATTAATTAACAAATTGTTAAATGGTCAATATTACTAATTTTGGACTGATTTCTACGGTGAAATTTTCTCTTCATATCTCGTAATTATGCTCGATGACATAGATAAAAAGTCATATCTATTATTGATATGAATCCTAATATTGTTAATATATATGTAAAAAAGTATCATTATGGTAATTAAGTGATACATGTAATAATAAAATAAATAGAAATAATTTAGCGATACTTTCTATACGGTGATAGTTTATTATCACTTGTACGACAATATTTCAACTTGAATACAAACTATAATAGTTTGAATGTAATACTAGTATATGAATGTTAAAATGGGCCTTTTTAAGTTTGAGCCACCTCCAAAGACAGGCTCAGGCTCCATGCTGAAACTAATTTACCCAGAGTCTCTGAAAAAAGCGATGAATATCCGTTGCATGCGCTTGTGGCTGTAAAGGTTTCGGCAAGTTTGGATTCTGGCCCGCACGATAAACTAAATTAGTTGAAAACATTTGTGTAATATAGAACGGGAATTAAATTGTGTAGTCCGTGTGTTGTAGTCAGAAACAATACACAATGTAACTAAATCTATCACACGCCTTCATTGGGGCCTACAAGACCGCATTTTGAATACACGCAATCACATCATTGTAGGAACTTGAATATGTATATACCTCAGAAAATTCCAATGGCCTTGGTGTGATTTATAGTATGGATTTGTTTGAATGGAATTCATGCGATGTGCTAAGATAGTTACGATGTTCATGTATTTTTGTTGGGTGATTTTAAATGCAAGTACAGGCACACGAATCTGAGTGTATCCATGGCGACAACCGTCTACATGTGATTAATGACGTAACGTGATTCGAGCTGAACATTTTACTATATCATATACTATAAACATAAATTAATTAATACTGGTCTTTCTCTGTTATCTCTGTGCACGATCTTTCAATTTACATGTGTTGAATGGCAAGGCAGGGTGTGATGCAAAAATGTGATTTTACGTGCCCTGTTCACACTGGAACAATTGTAATGGATTACGTATTAGTTTCTACGTCACTATTTTTCATCTACCGGTAACTCAGTATCGGACTACTAATACCGCTTCGATTTAATTTGAAATTTTAGGTAAATTGCTCCAAATTGTGCCGTACTGGAAGATTGTGGACGTTACACAATGTTTAATAACTGCTAAAACATGCGTATTGGGTCAAATTATTATGTACGAACAGGATAAGTTATTTCATGCTATACCTCTAGAGGAACCGTGGACAGGTGTATGTTATGAGGGACTGTGGACAGGTGTATTTTATGAGGGACTGTGGACAGGTGTATGTTATGAGGGACTGTGGACAGGTGTATGTTATGAGGGACTGTGGACAGGTGCATATTATCGCATTTTCGATGCTCGTCTCAATGTCTCAGCATCGAGACTGGCAGGAAAAATGATATTGAAACAAGTGAACGAGTCTGTCCTTTATGCAATTATTCTAAAATTGAAGACGAATATCATTTATTATTAATTTGTCCGGTTTTTGAGGATCTTAGAAAATAATACGTTCCAAAATATAAATATGTTGAATTGATGAGGACGGTTGACAGTCACGCACTACAATCCACGACAGATTAACTATATCACTCTTTGTGTGACTTTACTACACGTTTTATTTATGTTCTAATAATGTAGTCTGTATTTTGGGCCATGGGCCTTGTGTCACAATAAAGATCAGGTTACATAAATCAAAGCACTTACCGACTACCCCTGAAGTCTCACATTTTACGCAGGTAACATCCACGCCACCCGACGTTAATATTAGTTTGTTTCTAGATAGGCGGTGTAGTTTTTGATCAGTAGTAATGTATTATATATTATTTTATCACTGTTTAGAATCATATTATTTGATTGCATCCAGTTATTTGCTGAAGATAAGCTTTGAACTATAGACACGCGGTGTCTGTTACATTCTCTTTTAAGATGAAGCGGAATATATTTATTGAATATAATACACATCAATGGTCATAGGATACGGGAATGTCGTTCCGTCCCAGTTGTTTCGATCCGTTTTGTCTAAGTGGTGTTCCGTCCCAGTTCATCAATTTTTGATACATAATAGTATATTAGTTTCGTTTAATAAATTATAAATATTATTCTTTTTATATTTCATCATTCAATAAAGTCTGAATGTAGAATAAATTGTTCTCATCTAACAGAACATTTGGCGTGACAATTTTCATAGCACTGGTGTCATTATGTCCGTTTTTTTTATATATAAAAAGAGTGGTTTTAATGACCGGTGACAAAAACGTAGAGGTGACACTGGAATGACGATAACATCTACCAATTCATGTGACTGCATAGTAAAATGTAGCAATTTCCGATCACGTGAATAGTGGCATACAAGAAACTCACTAGCAGATGCATGAAACTAGGTATGAAATTATTAACAGTTCATCTCACTGAAAATTCAAATAGTAGGCATTATACTAATAACAGTTTTACATGTTCTGTGTTCTTTGATACAAACAGTATTACGCGACCCTGTGGAGATAATGATATAAGCCCGTCAGTGTGTATTGCTCTCGGTTTATTTGTAAATATTTACTAAAACGAAACACCACTGGAACGAAACGAATTTGGACAAAATTAGCTGTGAGACAAAACAACAGTTAACCGGGAACTATCTGCTGACTAATTCGGAACTATAAACCCCTTTTATAGTTCCATGCTTAAGCTAATATCTTTACTGGGGATAACTCCACCCTTGGACGCACCCCATAGGAGTCCATCATCTGATAATGACGGTGTACTTTTCGACAGATATTAATGATTTTAAAATTCCCAGATCCCTATATGGAGTGAAACACAGTTCAGCCCATTGTTTCTGAAAAAGTGGGAAAATTGCCTGGAATGTGCTTATAACTTTGAAAATCTGGATAATTGTGCGTGATTATCAATAACAATAAAAACTAAAAAATAAAGAAACCTACGTCAATACACTATTATCATATGTCTAATTAGTTAACTTATTAATTTCGCGACTAATTAATATTAATCACCTTGATTCCTTATTAAGCTATTCTAATTAATTGCTGCCCTAATTATTACCAAGTAGCCATTAACTTGCTTGTAATAAGTGATTTCATCTTCATCTTCAATTTGGTCTCCATGGTTACCCCCATAGCTACCAAGAAAGCTACATTACTCTGTATAGGAAACTTAATTCAAACACAGTAATTCTGGAAGCGATTTAGCAATGCTCAAAAACTAATAAAAAACACAAATTATCTATGATATACTACGGCTAAACCTCAAACATTAAATCTCTGCTAATTATACTCATTACCACATAATTGGCTTTGACCTAATTCTTACTTTCCCTGTAGTTTTAACTGAAGTTCACACACACTAACCATAACACTAATTAACTGTCACTCTCACCAACTGATAGTGGGAACTCAAGTATCAATAAACAACAGCTGGTATACAGACACTAACATGTACTAGCTATCGTACCCTAGGTCTATTGACTTACAATACATACTCAGTTAGAACCTACACTTAATCGAAGTACTAATTATTTCAATCGGTTACAATATCATGCTTGAGTTGTGTGAAGCGGATCGAAATATAATTTGGAAAATCGTGTTATTTTCGGGAAGTTTCGATGTCATGGTGTCAACGCTCTCCTACCTTGTGTTGTTATTATATGAGTAGTAGGGGAATGTATGCCGATCCTACTGTAGGTCATTTTTTATTAGCCAAGAAACGTTCCGAGCGCCTGTTCTCCGAGTGACTTTGGCATGAATACAGGGCAGAAAACACAGAAAATCAAAGAAAGCTTAGAAAAAACTCCCATGTGCTGAGAGTATTGTAACACATTAAATATAATTCGGAATTACTTAGCTGAAAACTTATTATGCAAATCAGAAAATTAATATGAACAGATTTTAGTGTAAAACTAATGAGGTCTGCGCAATGTAACAGAAAATCTATGTACCAAGTTTAATTGAAATGTGATTAGAACCAAAAAATTCACCTAATTTGCATAATTAACCAATTTTAAGCTTTCACACTGAAATCTAAAGTACCAGGGTACTAATTATTCAATTTCAATGAAACTTAGTGCAAAGATGCTCTAGGACAATGTACAAACCTGATTAGTTTTGGGTTAAAATCTGTTTATATTAATTCCCTAATTGGCATAGTAATGTATAATTTTTTTTGGTTCCAATCACATTTCAATAAAACTTGGTACATAGATGTTCTGTTACATTGCGCAGACCTCATTAGTTTTAAATTAAAATCTGTTCATATTAATTTTCTAATTTGCATTATTAGTTTTCGGCTTTTCCATCACTATCTCCGACAAGTAATTTTGAAATATATTTAATGTGTCTCCAATACTCAGCACATGGGAGTTCTTTCTGAGCTTTCGTTGATCACTGATTAGTTTAATTTTCATTATGTGTGTTATCCAGTTTCGTTCTATTTTTTTTCATTTCTTCGATTACAATAAGCCTTCATATGCTCGTGTTGTAGGTGGCGGGAATGTCTGGTGGGAAAGTTCAAGCGGACGTTTGCGGTCTGGTCGGGCTATGGGTCCACCAATTCGGGGCCTAGGGCGGTGTATGGAAGTGGTTGTTGCAAGAAGGGGCCTACAATTGGCGCAGCAACCCTGCGAGTTTATTTCTGGGGGCCTATTGCAGACATTAGCATTTTAAAGGGGGCCCATTTGCTTCTCGCACGACCCCGCTTTAGAAGGTGAAAAACACCCCGCTTTCCCGTTAAATTTGGAAAGCACATGGGGTAGTAACAGCATATAGAGTGACACCCCCCGGGGGGGGGGGTACGACGTACGTTTTGATTTCATTTGCTAGTACTTTATTACAGCTATGCAGTGAATCTGTGAATGCTGGAATATGGGAGATATATACAAAGGGGCAAGCGGTAACGTATGGTGCAATGATACAATTTGGTTCGTCATGTTGAGTACACATACAAACACCAGGGCAAGGGAAAAATATATTTTGCTCATTCAGCAAAATTCTGAACATTTTCATCAACAATTCACAAAATAGTCCCACTTACCTTCAGAAGACTGGCCCAGGGACAAAACAGCCAAATTTTCTGAGTAAAAGCTGAAAATTGACTCAAATTATGCCTGTTGGCTTCAAAATTATGGTTTATTTCTAGAAATATTGAAGAATATAAGAAAAAAATGCAGAAAAAATTGGCTGAGAAAGTCTGGTGGTGAAAAGGTTAACCACAATCATGATACATTGTGCTTGAAAGAAAATGAAACAATTGTTGCACATGCGGTTTATTTTGGGTCACATGTTCCACAAGTCTTCAAGATAACACCATGGTGAACATTGCCATATGAGAAAGACAATATGCTCGAACTAATTGCTTGTATTTTGTATATATATGTATATGTATATATATATATATATATATATATACATTTTTTTTGTCAAACCGTCCTACAGTTATTGGGGTGCAACATTTCTAGTCTGGAGAGCAGCATATAGTAGCATTCCAGCAAAGTTCAAACATTTTAATTTCATCATTTTCATGAATTGATTCTATATTACTTGTCCTAGACTGGCACTGTGAATTGCTGTTCCCACCATATTGTTTTAAATACCAAAACAGCCAACTAGTTTGCCGAGAGGTACCAAGATCGCTACATGATTGGAATGGTTAAATCAAACTACTTTTGATTTGCCATTCGAATAAATACAGGAAGTGCAATACAAACTTGTTTTGAGAGAATACAATTTCTCTAGTATTGAAATGGGTAACTTGCAAATCACCCTTTGAAATGAACACAACATTTTTATATACAACTCCTGCATCACAACCAACTACAATACAGGTAGTATTGAGAGTGGAAAAGAATGCCCACCAGCAGCAGTCACATTATACATGTCACTCAGTGTTATTTTGACGACTCCCTTTGATATCAGTTCAACCCAATCTCGCAACTATTGCAAGACATCCTTAGCAACACAGTCGGTAACCTAGCTGTTATTGTTGCCGTTTGGGGGTACGACAGAGTATGGCAGTGATGGGTTGCGGGTGTTTGCAAAATGAAATAAGACAAGAAACAATAACATATCTCCATCTTGCAGGTTATAAGATAACAGAATAAAACGCATGTTTTTACTGTTAAAATAAAGATTTCATACTTTATTCAGTTCTGGTAATTATGTCACAGATTTCATTACAAATGTAATGAAGTAATTTATTCCGAATACATTTTCAATTCACTTCCTTATACGGGACAATATTATAATTAGTTTAATGACTATGGTTTAAATTTATTCATTCAAATTATTTACACATCATCTTTTCTCTCTCTTGCTTTTCTTTTTTTTGCTTTTTTTAATTTTAATTTCATCTGAATTGAGTTGAGTTCTATCAAGAACATGAGCAGTATCTAAATTTTTGTTTTTCTTCTTTTTACTTTTCTCAACAATGATTAAACCACTTTCTTTCTGATGACTTTCATCACAATCGCTACTGTTCTGTTCATCAATTTGTTTTATTTTCTTCTTTTTCTTACTTGCAATTTCATCTATAATATTTTCATTATCCAGAACCCGGCCTTCTTCTCTATTCAATTTCCGTTTCTTTTTCCTGTCTCTCCTTTCCAGCTCATCACGTTTAGTGTCATCATTTTTTTCTTCTTTAGCTCTTTTCTTTTTCTTTGATTTTCTGACTACCTCATCAATGTTTTTTAAATCTTCTCTCCCATGATCCACGGTATTATTGGCTATTTTGTTGTTTTTGGATTTTTTCACCCTCTTTTTCTTTTCATCTTTCTTGCCAATCCATATACAGTCATCACTATCAGATGCCATAGCAGCCATATTTACCTCAGTAGCAAATTCCCCGCCCGTCAATGGATCCAATGTAGCATTTTGTTTTTCTTTCAATGCTGCCATTTTCTGAGCAAAATACTCCTGTAAACTCTGTGAACTTGTGACTGTCACTATACCATGATCAGTCGAAGAATTTGCACTGTCACTGTCAGAACTCTCAGTCTATGTAAAAAGGAAATAAGTCACTGTGAATAACAATCCCTGTCATTGATATTGGCATTCAAAGTGAGATGACTACAAAATCAACAACAAGTAATTTTTATTCATTTATTATGCAGATCATGGACAAACCCAATTATAGATCTGGAACGAATTAAGTTCCAGTCACCCCACAGCAATCTGCTAGTTGTAGTGACAAGGATACTGTGGTTTTTCATTTGCATTGAGAACAGGAACAACACATCAATAGATTAATGTCCCCTCCGATGCAATATTCTCGACACTGACAAGAGGGTACCGACGTGTACTTTGTTTCACATGGGAGCCATACCCACAATCTCTCTGATGATGGACGGACATGCTAACCACTAAGCTGCTAACACAAGAAGTGATTGCTTGGCAATATACACAAATTATTAAAACGTAGTGTTGTCTACAGTGATTAGAGCAAGGCCAATTTACATTCAGAATGAACCAAATTCACAGGCCTAAACACTTCATAGCTTACCTCTGATGGACGCTGGGGACTATTTGACTGGGGCTTTGATTCACCAGTTTTTGTTCCCATAATACAAGCCAGGTCTGTTCTACTGTAGACACTAAGATCCTTTCCTCTGGTAAACTTCATGTAGCTGCCAGGAGAGAGATATTGGTTAGATAACTAATGAAATTATTAAATTACCTGCACCCATATTTGGTTAGTTTGTTTCGCACAAAGTAGTTAAAAGATTTTCAGATGCCATAACATTGAAATTCATTATTTGGGACACAAATAACAAATTGCGTCTGGTATTTAAAAAGATATTGATCTCATGATCCATGGGTTGAAGAATATGGAATTTTCCCACTGGTCCTGGACTAGTGATAAGAAAATTGTCACTGGTCCTGAAATGATGTTTTAACATTATTTTTTATTTTTTAACAGCATCTTTCATTTTTAATACATATACATGTACATGAGTAAGTTACTTTTCTGATACAATCTCAGGTAATGGAGCATGTTCATCAGTTTTAGGATGAGATAACTTATGTCCTGATATATGCCTTGAAGTTGATGAAGATAACAACCAGTCAACAATTGCTGGGTCAGGATTATAATCAGCTAAATCTGGTCCTTCAGACATAACAAATAATTGGTTCTGAAAATTGTTATGATTTAGTCTAGTTCTGAGTTCAGTTTTTATAACATTCACTTTAGAAATACCTCTCTCACAAGCACTAGTACTAGGTGATACTGTCAACATATATTCCAATAATTTCTTAACTGGTGCACTAATAACATCATTTGCACTCTGTATGATTATTGAGTATACATCTAAAAGTGTCTTTGACCTGTGTGTTTTGCAATAAAACTTCAAGTTTAACCAATCATTAATTATTGTCTCTTTTTCTGATTCACTGAAATATGACTTGACTACTGTATTGTTCATGAGTTCATGAATATCTTCATTGCCATATGTAGCCAATTCTTGTTTATCCATAGGCCACTGATGAAAGTTCAGGCACAACAACTGTTTAAATGGTGGTTCATTAAGTTCAATAAATCTGTTGTTTATATATTTAGTGGTATGTCAATCAGTTTTTCAAAAACTGGTGTATTATATTCAGCTGGTAATAAAATACCTTTAATTTCAATATCTCCAAAGTTTATGGTTCATAGCAGTCAATAAAATGTTTCATACTCGTACCAGGAACAGTTTTCAGAGCATTTAACTTCATAATAGTTTGTTCAATTTTATCAGAGAGTTCAACAACTAACGTGTCTTGCTGAAATACCCTTGACAAATTTGCAATAATTGGAAGAAAATATAACAAAAAATAGAGCATCTTCAGGAAAGATGACGATCTAATCGCCTTTAAATAACCCATTGCGTGGTTTGCATCATCGGCTCGATTACCAGCAGTATGAAAGTGTTTTACAACTGTTACTATATTTACCGCTAATGACTTCACTGCGCGTTCTTTACTTGCCAACCAGCGAACTTGTTTGACTGACGAGAAATGTGCTAAATCAATCTCAAATATATTGGCAATCTCCTTAAGTTCAGGTCGACGTTTCGGAGAATAGTGGTAATCAAAGAAAGCTTAGAAAGAACTCCCATGTGCTGAGAGTATTGGAGACACATTAAATATAATTCGAAATTACTTAGCTGAAAACTAATTATGCAAATCAGAAAATTAATATGACCAGATTTGAGTGTAAAACTAATGAGGTCTGCGCAATGTAACAGAAAATCTATGTCTTCAAGTTTAATTGAAATGTGATTAGAACCAAAAAATTATGAATTATTATGCTTATTAGGGAATTAATATGAACAGATTTTTACCCCAAACTAATTAGGTTTGTACATTGTCCTAGAGCATCTTTGTACTAAGTTTCATTGAAATGGAATAATTAGTACCGTGAAAACTCCAAAATTTCGACCCCTCTAAAATTCGATCGCCTATTTATTTGCCGGGTTTCGGTGTTTATTTACCTCCAATTTTCGACTCCACTAAAA